ATTACCAATGACTTTGGTTGATTAATGGATGAGAAGTTAGGATTGTTGTTGACTAAGATTTGGTTGATTTGCCCATACAAATAACATTGTGTTCACCAGTGACACCGGTAAGTAGGCTAGGTGTGGGTGGACTCTTTCATTACTGCGCTCATGTTCACTCATCCCGTTACGCGCGGAATAAGCGTACTACTAGTATATACATCATGTTTACAAAGTGGGTCCATTTCTCATTCACCCACCATTTGACTTAAACTTGTCACTATTTGAATGGTGGATTTTCCGTAGAACTTTGATTACTAAATAGCTTAAAATGGATTTATTTATGCCTGAGTGAAACTTTTCCAAGTTAGAAATGCGATTCAAAGGCATATTAATACTTAACTTAGTCTTTAAGCCGTAAGAAATTTTAATTCGTCATATTACATTGATAGTTTACTTGTTTTACTGGAAAATCTATATACCTCATACAATGAAATTTTTCCTTATTACATCCTTTTACGAGTCGTCCTAATGAACAGATTTTTACGATTACGGTGTCATTTCAAAGCTTATGATCTAGCACACCTGCGAATATTAATTAAAAAGATAATTTCCTTAAGGGCTTCTATTCACCCTCTCACGTACAATATGTTTCTAGAGTACATTTTCATTATCATTACGAGTTGAAGACGCCACCTAGGTATATTCTAACCCAAATATGAGTGAAGGATGAATGTAGAATGGTAACTGCTATAAAGGAATATAATCTTTGCAAAGGTAATTTGGTTATGTACTGGATTCATTTTGCCTCGGAAACAAGCTTTAGACCCTATTTAACTGCACAATTTCTGTGTACAGGTCTCCTCGTAATAAGATTTAATTCGGAAGATAAATACATACTTCTATTTCACGTAGACATTTTTAAAATTAGTTTCTGCATTATACATTTACCTTTCCGATATGTTCCACTAAGTGCACAACAGCTCAGCCCAGTCCACACAGCCACACTCGCCTCACAGTCACGTTGCCGTACTTTACTCCAATTTGTCTCCAACGTTTGTAACTCTTTATTGGCTTCAGAGGAAGCCTTCGACTTAAATAAAGCTCAATCCTCAAGTTTCTTATCGTTCTAGGTAGTATTTGTGTTTGTTAGTAAAAAAAACAACAACAAGTAAGATGATTCGTCTTTACACTATTCTAAACTATGAGATGAAACACGTTCTCTGTCCGTCGTAGTCCATATATGTTCAATATTGAAACTTTTATTTAGTTAATTGGTGTTTGATGTTGTGTGTTTGGTTTGTGAATTTATACTGTTGATTAAGTTTGTCACTGTCCTATAATTTTAGCTTAGTTTCTTAGTTAAATAAATTATTTTTTTTACATTTCTTATTTATATTTTCTACCAACATAATATTAAAACACTTATCAACGCTCTTGGGTTAAATGCAGCGGACTCACTTGATTATTGATTCTCATAGGTTAGAGTAAAGGTAATAATCTCATTGACAAATGACAAATAGCAGTGATTATTTGTGACAAAGACAGATAGTGCAGAGGACAAATCCACTACAATCTGTGATACTATGGTGTGGTTCATGAGGGACGGCCAAGGAGGTAGTGACACTTCATTAATATTTTTTGCTCCTAACACGTTTTAGTAACAACTTATATTTCTATATGAGGTAGATGACCTGTAACATTAAATGTAATGACGGATGTGTGGTATAAGTATTCCGGCCGTAAGATAAAAATTGGAAATGTAATAAATCATTAGTATTTTCTTAGTTGTACACATATTGTACGCATACATATTCTATAACTCATCATTATAGAATCTTACATACAAATCTCAAACGTTTTAAGCCAAAGTTTTATAAATTTATGCAGTTTTAAATAAGGTTTTTCAGTAAAAGAAGAAAGATTAAGAAATTGAATTGAGAATTGTGATTCAAGTAGAAGTGCCGAGCAGAATAACTATGTCAGGTGCAGCATGAAATATAAACCTATTAAGATATCATTCCTATATAATGAGTTTTGCTCTCTCAATGTGCGATGATACAATTACGGCTCCAAGGGTAAGATTTCACAATTAAAAACATAACAAAGCCAAGCATTTAAGTCTGAAACCCCCTTTACCTATAAACATTTAACCCATAACCAATTATACGATTAGACATTTTAAAGGTACATTTGATATTGTACACTTTGGGTCCGTTTGTAAAGATATGATGCGAATACCCAAAAGATTACCCAAGTATAACATTATTTTTAAAATAATACTCATTATAACATATAACATTGTATACATAATCTATACAACACATTATGTTTTATAAAGACTGCGCAATAGTATTGAGCGATAGTAAAATGAAGTAGGCCATGAAAACTATTTGAGAACGCAGAAAACCATTTAGAAATACCGTAATTGGATCAAATAACGGGTAGTTATTAAGGTCACTGGCCGTGCCTAGTGACACGTAGGCACGAGCCTGGGATTGTTTTTCACATTGCTTCAGGCTATACCGAGGGGTTGCGGCATTATCACTAGGATAAAATCCATTGGTGATTTGGCGAGATTTGAACCTGGGACCTCAGGTACCGAAGTGCCGTGCTCTAACCACTAGACCAGCTCGCTTACCCAGTGGGAGTGTAGAGAGATAAGTAATGTAGTACCCAACAGTTGGTATTTCAAATTGAAACGAATAGTGTTTTATTATCCAAGCTTGGATACCAACCTTTAAAAAAATGTTTGTTTAAGAAATTAAGAAAACTTGTTACTTTTTAATTGAAAATCGTAGTTGTTCTTTTAATTACCCAAACTAAAATAATAAACATGTGTACTAATCAGTATTGTTCATGGTGGTGGCTGATACAAAGCTAAAGACTATTAAATAATCTCATCTTACTTATCTAATTGAGCAGTCCTTGTACCTTAATCACTCTAGTCTAGTTCAAGTTATTGACCGGTACACAGCTAATGTATTAGCTCTGCACACTAATAACACTTTATGATTCAATGTTGTTCAAGCTGATATTGGTTGATGCGCATTTGTTATCGTCAATGACAAGACATAATAAGAATATAATTTACAAACACATTAAAATCAGTTACTATTTAGGAAATCTGAGAAAAATATGTTTTACCAAAGATTACACATGCTACGCAAAATTTTGCGTAGCATGTGTAATCTTTGTTTTTACTAAAGGGTAAATTAATTAAGTCTTGATTGAGAAACTAAAATAAAAATAAAGTGAACAAAATATTGGGAATTGTATCAAAGTTTTGCATTTTTTATTATTAGAACGGATTTTATTTTGCATAGTAAAAAAATAAAGTTAAAAAATGTTTTCCAATTCAATAAAAAAATTCATTTAAAATCACTAAGGTCACTGAATTAAACTAACTGTCAGGCTCGTCTAAACTATAGGTAGTCTGCTACACGAGATAACTACGACATGGCAATTACATACAATCACTGCTACGTTAAATAGCTGACAGATAAACATCTATAGTGACAGTCCATTAAAATGCTGAATATGTTGGATTTTTGATAACTAGCTCATCTCAAATAATACGTTGATTAAAGATTCAATGCAAATACATATGTATAATGAACGGTATATGATATGGATTAATGTAGATTTTTAAGGACCTAGAAAACTTGCATGCTGAGTAATTACAGCAAGTAAATCAGCTTTGCAATATCCGTAGTATTAAGTTGTAGAATAATAATTTCCATATTACTTTTTGGTTGTTTCAACCGTATTATTACATTTAAGTTTTTTTTTTTATCATGTAGTTTTAATATTTTTTCTTCCACCTGTCATCGGGTACACTCGATTAGAAAAGCTTATACCATCATTTTAATACAATTGTAGTTGAAATCATTTCTAATTGTAAATACTTGTTGGATTATCTTTATTCTACTGTATTTTGTTTGAGGGAGCGAGCTGGTTTAGTGGTAGAGTTCAGTAATTTCCGAAGTTTCCGCAATTTCAGGTAAAATCCAATTAATCACAAATAGCTTTTAGGTACTTAGTAGTGCCTCATGCCCCTCAATGCCTAGCCTAAATACATGTGAAAACAATTTTTTGTTTGAGCATAGCGTCCTAAGATTTGAAGCTAGGCCAAAAACTTTATTTCAAGATAAAGTTTCCTCGTTATAAAACTGCAACCCTATGGCATATTGTTAAATTTAACCAATTAAGCAATTTCTTATCTCACATTATGATTAAATGTGGTAGAAGGGACATGAGCCTAGCCATATGATTGATGAAGTAATATTGAAATACCTCTAAGTCACCATCTCATTATGTCAGAGCTGAACCTTTGATCAGACGCCTTATCACAACACTAACACTATGACCCGTTACCAAAATAGTCAGCTCCCAAAATATATTACGGGTTGTAAAACAATATCTGAAGCAGATTATTTGGAATAATGTTTATTTCTGAAATTAATAGCTAATCAATTTATTAAATTAATTCTGTAGTTAATTAATAGGGTCGTATTCAACTAAATTAATAAGAGTCCTTGTTAAAAACTATTAAATAATATTTGTATAGTATACCACTTTATCCATTGCTACAGTATTATGTTTTACATAATTTTATGTTTATGTAATGAGTTGTTTAATACGAAATATTTTCCGTAACTATTGTTATTTATTACCCCTTTAAAATATTTAAAATATTTTATTTTGTTATTTATGTTTCTGTTTATTTTTATTTTTATATTTATATACGCCAGTGGTGTTTTTTCAATTTTTTTTTGTAAAGCAAATGTCCCAAAACAGGAATGTTTACTATCTTATAACGACATTTTTGTTAGATAGCATCAATAATAAAATAGCCAAATGAGAAATGCATCCAGGTCTAGGTGGTGATATCGCTTCGAATCCATCCAGTGACCTTCTATTTTGAAAGCGAGACTATAATCATTCGGCTACCCAGACAAATAATTGTGATACTTTATATCAATGAATAAAAACTTATATACTAAATTGTTTTGTTACAGATTAAGTTAAAAACCACGAGTGAAACAGCAGTTTTGCCGGATATAACTGGTAAGTTTTCATTTTTATTAACAAGCTCAAAACCAAAGCTTTTGTCTTGTTCATCTTTGTAGCAAGCTGTTTTATTTTATTTTTTCATGTAACAGATCAATTGATATTATTTTTTTTGCTATATACATTTCTGGAACATACCATCTTCTACGATAGACCTGCAGAAAATACCTCTTACAGTTGATTTTATAATACAGTACTGTAGTCTCGTAATATATTCTTTATACGGTTTTTCATAACTTATATTCTTACAAAATTTGCTTGAATGAGTCGTAGCCCTCTTAAAGACTCCTTAAGTTATTAACCATATAATCTACAACTTCTTATACTTGAATAGTATGGTCTAAGCTTCATTATATATATTTACATGGAATTGTAGAGGAAAGATCGTTTTTCAGAACGGAAGTTAAACAATGTAACACTACATTTAATCAATGTCATGAGACGTTCCCGAGGCTGGAGTTTATGCAAATACCTCCTGCTGAAGGTAAGAGATGCAAATGTCGAAGTAGGCCTGCGAGAAGTGATAACAGGATTGGATGGCTTTCAACCACGTGTAGTCGAACAACTTGAACAACTTAGCTTTAACTACAATAATTATCTCATTGAAGTGTATAGGCTTCGTTCGATTGTCGGGTTGTTTTTAGCTTAGTTAAGACTATTAGGAAAACTGTTTTTATGCAAAATTAGTCTAACGAATTTCAGAGTAGGCCAATATGGAAAATACTGAGAAGTGATTTGCTATAATCTTAGGGGTCTAGATCAATTCGACCAGTTATGGCCAATTTCAATAGTTTCTTTATTTTGCCCATATTACAACACATACACGCACACAAACAATACACGCACACAAACAACATACATAGGACAAACAAGCATTGTGCTTTTTTCGCACAAAAATGCAGCTCGTGGATTTACAGGCGAAAAAAAACACACAATCCACGCGTAACTTTTGATCTGAACATGTATTAGAGGGTTGACCATTATTTACATACCTCAAATGTTTACGAGCAGACACACACAGGTTATATACGACCAATCACTGATGCTATACATCCATTATGACCATTGGTTGTCATCCTATAATCTGAACGGGCATGTTGATGACACGTCGTATTTGAGATAGAGTTTTTACGATTATCATAATTTTCAACCTTTAATATATAAAAATAAAAATTAAATAATAAAAAGTGCAATGCCAGAATTGCTTGAATGGGTCTTAACCAAAGGAACATCAAACACATTTAATTTGTTTCCAATAGTACAATGTTTTTTACAAAGATAATGCATATCTACTACTCGTTAAATACATGTTCAATTACACAAAAAATACAAATGTACCCGGTGATACAATAATATTGTGCATTAGTTAGTTACATAAGTAAAAACCAGTTATTACACATTTTACATATATATTCAACATTCACAATTTGCTGATAAACTTACAATGTATTGTAATAAGTAATGCGTACAATATTACTGCAACCGTATCCAATTATAAATTCATGGTCAATTCACACCTAAAAATAGAATGTAAAGATTATACTACCAAGATATCTCCAAACTTAATAAGGTTGGCTCTGGAAGGTCCGGAAGCACAATAAAAGTTTGTTTCAACAACAACAGCCCATGGTAAATGTTGTAATTTTGTAAGCTTTTACATACTTGTAGCCTTACATACTTATTATAGTTTGTTCCTATAGATAAAAATAGCCTACTTTATATCATTGGTGTTTCATATATCTGTTCTGTTATCTAAGAACAGATCTTAAGAATAATGGCAGTCTTATAAATGGTATAATAACTGGGACGGGTCGACGGGTGGCATCGTCCTGTAATCCAGCAACTAGGAGGTCACGAATTGTGGATATTTTTAGGCATGCACTGTGGATGCGATACTCCCTGGTGTGGATTAACGTCCTCAATAGAGAGTACTACGACTATACGCAGTACTATCCTAATAATAAGACCAATTCGTTAATACCAAGGCAAAATGTATTCAGATTCCACTATAAACTGTTGGTCCTTTAGTTGCCATTAGCTGTATGGGCTAGCACCTGTGTCTAAGGAATAAGTCGGCCTTGGTCACTAACAAGACTACAAGATCGCACTACTCATCCTACACTCATCTCCATTCATACTTGGCTTAAAATGCCTACTTTGTATGGTCGCCATTTCATTAAAAAAGTTAAAAAAAATTATAAAGTCCTTGAATTATACTTGTATTTTTGGATTTAGCCACATTTGCACCATTCTTTTGGGCTTTTGACAACTAGATATGTGTTTCCATGCAACTGTTTTTAGAATAATTTAATTTAACTGCTTTCCCAATATTACTAGATTTATGATATTAAAATTATTACAGTAGATTTCTGTGATTCCATGTAAATCAAATGTTTAGCAATTTTTTACATTCATATAATGGTATTCTGGTACAGTACTGGTAACCTTTACATACATCGATTTTTAATATACCCTCAGTATTCATAGAATGTCTATTAGATGAGTGCAGTATTCTACATTTCTAACGATTGATAACTTATTCGCGAGGCGGTTCATTTGACATAAAATATTCCGAAGGTATTGTTAGGTGTGAAAACTAAATTAAATTCACCTATCGGTTTAACAAATACAATTTAACTTATTTTTTTTATATTAGAAACAATAACGGGAAACAACCCCCACTAAACTGACAAACTGTTCACAAACAGCATCTACATTTACAAACAGGGAGTCAGTATGTAACATTGTAGCAGTAGCATGTAGCGTAATAAAGTATACATTAGTGAGACTGTTGCTTTGTTACCATAAACATGCGAAGCGTAATGTTTTGACAGCTGTTGAGTAGATGTGTACCTGACAGTTACAACTCCTACTTGACCCGCTTTTAATTTTTGATTAGTAATATATTTTTATAAGTTATAGCTGTTTTTCATTTTATATAAACCAGCAGTGTTAGGTTCTACCGTCAAAAGTTTAAAGGATCATAAATGCTGAATTTATGGTTATATAAAATTAGTATCAAGAAAAAATTATTTTAACCAACACGTGGTTGTGTTTTAGAAATCTGAAACACGTTGATCCTAAGCTATTTACATGGGTCACTGAGGCTTTCTGTACCAAGAATTATGAATAAATAAAGGATGAGGTCGCGATGAGCGATACGATGGATTTCGTTCAAACAGTTTCTTACTTTTGGAGTTTGGCCCTTGAAATCCAAGCAAAGAAGCGATGTTTGCATAACAATTAAAGATAAGTTTAACACTTTTTACAAAAAAAAAAAAATATTTATGGAATAAATATAATCTGCTCAAACACACACTTTTCGGCTTTGGAAAGCGAAATAGTTATAGAACTATTTTGTGCGGCCATACTAGATTACTGAAAAAATACCATAGGTAGTTTGATTGTTTGGATTCCATTTTTTAGCCCCTGAACTGCGTAGTATAGACTAAACTTAAACCACTTTAATGTTTTCTGTAACCACTTGAGAATGCCTTAAATGGCGAAACATATGTAGTGGACTTCAAACACTATATTTGAACTGCAAGACGAGGTATGTAAAGTTTAGTCATTGTTTAGGATAAGTACTTGCTCATTCCTGTGTTGACAATGGGAGTAATATCCGGATCTAAACCATGTTGATTGGTTTGCCGTTTTGCACAATAGTAAAGCATCCATATGCGATTTGTTGTTTTGACTACGTGATGGGTCTAGCTGAATGGGACACGGCAATGAGGTTAAGTTCTCAATATCATGCATTTATCAATGTCAAAGTATCGTATGATTGTCTTTTAAAAAGAGTCCCTAGCTATCATGAGGTAAAAAATGTTATGTAAAAACAATTTTTTTAATTAAAAACGCTAATTTTATAGAACATTGTAGAACCAGTGGAAATCTTTGTGATATTCGTTGTTTAATTTTGTTGAAAAGTTAACAAAAAAATTAAAAATTGCAAGACATGGCAATGCAAAGTTATGGAGATGAGTAGAAGTCGAGGCGCTAACCAACTTAATGTAACCTTGTTAAGAGTAATTAGCTCACTCTTGAGGTTGATTTAAAAATATAATTCTTGGGGCTCTGTGTTGGTTTTTATTTAAACGCATATAAATATTGTTTCATACTTACCTTCTCATTTTTTTTTTCAATAGGTGCGAAATAATGATGAAAAACGCCTCTGTCAGCCGAAACTTCCTAGAAAATAATTTGGTTACTGACACGCTGATTTTCATTAGGTAGGACAGGGATTTCTAAAGGGGTTGAAGAAGTATGATTTCCATATTAATAATTGCAAATCTTATTCGTTCTAAAATTAAATATGACAAACTAACAATCCTAATAGACCTTTCCAATACCTATTAGTCTGTTAGGAAATCTGAAAAGTTTAAGATACACCTGAAAGTCATCTTAAATACTTAAACACTGCTGATTGCTTCTTCAGATGGTTATTATCTTCTCTCCTCATTCGTATTGATTGCCTTATTTTTGTCACGGAGGATACGTTTTTACGAAGTGTTTTTAGATATACTGCAATATTTTAGAGGAATAATTTTTTTAGTCTACATCAAAACAATTTTAAAATGATCGCACTCATACATTGTCCCTTGTGTCTTATAGGCTACTATGCCTACTATGCCTTATACTATGCCTTAAACGTATGCCTGACTTCTGGAACCCGATGGTCCGGAATCAACTAATTTTCCAGCTTTAAGTCAGCATATCCAGAATAAACGAGTTTTTAACCAAAAAGCATGTTTCTGTTCAAGAATTCTCTTGACATCAATTTCATCAATTGATTTAATCACTCGCAAATAAACACTAACAAATTGCTAGACAAAACTAGCGATATCAAAGTCAAAGTCCAAGTCCTTTATTCAACCAGATTAACAATACATTGCATTGGACAAGTCAAGAGATTACATTTTTATGAAATTAATTAACTACTAAATACATTATATACAAATTGTTTTCTTTTATGTTTAATAAGGTTAAAGACTACC